GAGGCCTCACCTCAAATCCTGTGTTCAGTTTTGGGCACCTTGTGACAAGAGAGATATTGGACACGCTGGAGCGTGGCTGGAGAATGGCCACAAAGCTGGGGGAGGATGTGGAGCCAAGGCTGATGAGGAGCAGCTCAGGAGCTTGGGGTGTTTAGYCTGAAGAAAAGGAGGCTCARGGAAGAAATTATTGCTCTCTGCAACAACCTGACAGGAGACCAGCATGGTCAATCTCTTCTCCCTAGTATTAAGATAAATAATCAGAGGAAATGGCTTCAAGCTCTGCCAGGGAAGGTTTAAATTAAATAGTAGGAAAAAAATTCTTCCTTGTAAGGGGTGCCATGGATTGGAGCAGGCTTCCTATGGAAGTGGTTCAGTCACCATCTCTGGAGGTATTTAAAGGATACATAGATGTGACACCTGGGGACATGGTTTAGTGGTAAAGTTGGCAGGTTGGGTTAATAGTTGTTAGACTCAGATGATCTTAGAGTTCTTTTCCAGCCTAAATGATCATGTGATTCTATGTCTGAATGAGAATGTGTGAGTATCAATCTAAACAAAACAATGAAAATAGTTACAGTGGAAAGGGTTTCTGGAATTTTGCTGGGAAACATTCTTCCTCTGATGTTTTACTATTCAAAGACAAGGAGATCAGTTTTGGGAGAAAAAAAAAGCCCATCACAAGTGCAACATATTTAAAATATAGTTCCCAATGATAAAAAAATGTAGAAATCTGTCTACTACCAGATATAAGTMATTTCTCATGTACATAATGTAAACATTCTCTCTTAATTTCTTCTTTGTAGCCACTGGTACCAGTACAAGTTTGAAATGTAGAGATCTGTGAATTTCCTTCAGATAAACATTTTTCTGAATTATACTCTGAATGAATAAATGGTAGGAAAGGTTTCTATTCTAATGTTGAAAGATAAAGCAACTCATACCGAAAGTATCTTAACCCCTCACCACCTGCAACTGGAGGTTCAGAATCACCACAACAAAGAGCTGAGACACACACAGRTAGGTASAGCAGARTGGTTCACAGCAGTCAGCAGTAAAYATTAAGCTTTCCCATCAGCATTACCATAAATTTGGGAACTACCAAACAGAATTTTGGCACTAATCTGTATTATAGCTTTTGGAATTCAAGTAAGACTGAGCTTCACCATCCCAACCTCTGTTCTCACATCCCTAACTCTCTTTCCTCCAGCTGTGAGGGACTGCTTTTCTCTTGCCCTGCAGAGCAGGTGTGATGAGAGAGGAGACCTGAAGCCCACATTTGATTACCCTCCCAGTGCTCCACTCCRGATGCCCTAATTCTTCAACCAGTGCATTAACCACCAGGCTGTTATCTGTAAYAAGGTCAGGACACCACTTCCTTCTCTTGGGGCCAGGTTTTGGGATGAAACTGTGTCATGCTCTGGGCTTTCATCAGCAGGGCTGACTAGTCCATGAAAATCAAAGAGGCTTCAGCTCAGTACAGATAAGTACTGAGACATGCCATTTAGCTACCCTGGGATATATGCACTGGCAGAACACTTGATATGAAGCAGCTTTACCCATGGAGATTCAAAAGCCGACAGACTCTGCTACTGCTTAGGCTGCCCAAAGAGCTGCGTGAAGTTAGGGTGAATCATGTACTGGGACTACAATGCCTTGCGTTTCATCTGAATCATGCTTTTGGTGGCTTAGTAACATGTTCAGTTTTYATGGTACTTGTGAACCTCCCTACCCAGGAGTCCACCAAATGTTGTTTTTGGGCTAGCACAGCCTCTTCAGGGAGTGTGCAAATGAAGTTCTTGATGGCCTGTGCAGAGGCACTGAGTCTGCTCCCAGGGAAGCTTCTGCTGCTGGGGGAGTGAGTAGTGGAAGTTAGATTAATGTCTGTGGGTTGAATAAATGCATGCCAGCTCAGCTGAGTGGAATGCAGCTGGTCTCAATTTGGCAGGAGAAAGAAAGGATTTTGTAACAGGATTAAGGAGAAGGTTCTGCCTTTCTATAGCAGGTGCAAGTAGACGACACAGAGGCAGAAGGCACCACTGCCACTGCCGAGATACCTCCAAGATGTACTTGAAACCTTTCTTGCTAAGCAGAAAAAAGGCCCTATTTGTCTGAAAAGTCAAGGTAAAGCAGTGTGATAACTATCCATGCATGTCTGACATGACTGGGGGTTTTGATTTTGCCCAGGAGAAAAAAAAAAATACTAAACTCAAATAAAAACAAAAATCAAGAGAGAGAGAAAGAAAAAGCGAAAACTATTGGACCTTTGGAATTGTCCTATATTTAAAAAGTAACTGAGAGATTAAAATAAATTAATTTTCATATGTAAACTACTGTACAAGTCGTTGAGAGTGCTCATGTGTTTCCCCTCTTTACAAAACATCCTGGGTAACATCAGCTGTACAGGGTACAGCCTGTCCCTCCAGGGAGGGGCTCCAGCTTGCTGACCATCTTGGTGTCTCTCTTCTGGGCTCACTCCAACAGCTCCC